TAAATCGAGATGAGACGAGAGTCTCGATGCTTTGTCTCGATCTCGTCTCGTCGTCACAAATGTAGTCTCGATCTCGGTCTTGTCTCGTCTTATCTCGTGAGACGAGATGAGAGTCTCGATTTTCGAAAGTCTCGGTGAAACACTAAATAAATGTCATAATTCTGAAATATAATTAATGTTATAATTTAAATTATAATTCAAAAACTAATTGTTGAAGTAAAATATAAAAAATACATATCTATAAGAATGTATAACATGCAATAACATAAATTAAAAAAAAAAAATTTTTGCCTAAAAATGATTCGAACCGGTAATACGCAGCGTGGTAACTGCGCGCCTTACGCGCTAAGCCACACCGGTTATCCGCCAACATACACTTATTTTATTCTATATAACGTACACGCAAAACTTTAAATGCGTTTTTCTCGCAAATGCTTGAGAAACGCGTCGTAATATTTTACGACGAATTAGTGGGAGGGTAGACCTACAATGTATATAAATTTCATCCGAATCGAACGGGATAATGTCTGGTGCTCCTCTTGTTAGTAGTACGTTCAGTGTGCAATTTATTCATGTATGGAATATCTGTTATAGTGGTAATTTTCCGTTTATTCGATGCTGTGATTCTAAACATTCTGTTTTTGCGTTAAAAGTGCAATTTATCGAGGTATTGTATAGATGTGTACTGTAAAACTCTACAATCATATGGATGTCCATAATAAGCGTATTTACTCTGAAGTAGTATGATATGAATAAGTAGAATATTTAGCTATTTAACTTTCAGTAAAAATATTTTTTAAAGTTAAAAGAAAGTAGAACTTAATTACAAAAAAAGTCTTAAACGTTTAGTTATAGAAGGAGAAGTAAAACAATTTAGTGAAATAGTGTATTTTAAGAAGTTGCAATGTTGTAAGAACGTTAATAACTTAAGCAAGTCAGTATGATTTTTTTGCTGATATTGAGTATAAAATAAGTCGTCATTCTATACAAGTGCGCCGCTGTCGTCTTCTGAGAGACATATATATTTTCTCTCATTTCTACATGTAAATGAATTAATATGAAGTGATTCTTCACGTAACACAATTACTTTTCCACAACTGTGGAACATTTCTTATAGACAGCGGAAAGTAAAAACCTTAACATCGTCCGCATTGTCATTCAATATGTTCCATGTTCACAGTCGATTTTTATGCGGTACAAAATGTTATCACAAAATAATAATTGAATTAATAATAAATAATGAATCTACAGTAGTACATTTAAGAAATGCTGTTTTAATATAATAATATTTAATAAAACCAAATAAAATATTATTTCAGTGAAATATTTAAATTATTTCAAACAATTGTATTGTTTTTGTCACACATAATTTGATTTATTTTAACGTAATAATACATTAACAATAATGAATTTGTATTTAACAAAATTGTTGTTTGGTACAAAATTATGTTGTTTAAATGCAAAAGATATGAGTCAATCAAATCGGGTGATTAAATTTAAAGAAATTTTCTCTTTATACTGCTAATATAAACAGACCTGTAGGTGAAAAGAAAAACACTTGACTGTTTTATAGATGATCTCGAATGTGTGGCGGTCTGTTTTCAAAACTTTTATAACACATCATGAAAACATTAAATATTAAGTATTAAATATTAAATATTAAATATTAAATATTAAATATTAAATATTAAATATTAAATATTAAATATTAAATATTAAATATAGTTATAGTTTTGTCAGAAGTAATAATAATACTTCCGTTTAAGGAAAAATCCAATTATTTTGTTTTTTACATATATTATAATGATTAAGTAACATTCTCGAATACGGAAAACGTTTTCAATTAGTTTGTCTTTCACAAATATTATGATTATACTCTTGAGTGACAATATAGAAAAAGGTTTGAGTCGTCGCTTATTATTTATGAAAAAAATAGTAACAAACAAAAGTTTCGTCACTAGACCATCGTTTTTCGACACCATGTACATTTCATAAGTAAATCTAATGTGTATGTTCCCAACTATATGTTGTGTTACACACAAATATATTCATCACAAAACTTACTGTTTTGTTTTAATTTCTTTGTTTGTATTTGCTTTTTTGCCTAAACAGTATATGAGGTAAGTGTTAATAAGTAATATGTATAAGACGATTGAATTTTAAAAAGTTGCAACATGCGGTTTTACGAATTTTTCAGTATGACATACAATCTTGACTCTTTGTTTACAATCTTGAAAGTGTTTATGTGAAGAACAATCGTTCGTAAACATATACAATACTTACAACACAAACATAAGAAACATATAAAATATCTATTTAAAAACCAAAAAGTAACCTTTTTATGTTTTTTTTTTCGTTTAGTATTGTAAGCATGTAGACAGAAAAGGTTCTTTCAGCCTGTAAAAAAATGTGCATCTTTGCATCTTCTCTCTCCGTGGATAATCATGAAAAACTTTTTTTACATGTTTTTTCAAGATGACAGCTTAAATATGTCCGACCGACAAAAAACTTTCACATTCGTTTTCACCGATTAAAAAGACATACAGATATCAACTTTCACAAAGATCGAAAAGTAGCTAATGTGCAATTTACCTTTTACTTTTGCATAGAATGATCCAACTGTTCAATACTATAACGTTTTAACTATTAAGAAGAAACAACTAAAATTTTTTGAATATCAGGATAGTGTCCGTAATAACATGTGAAAGTCAAGATGAGTGAGGCTCCGGTATTGTCACCATTTGCCGAGTACTTAAATGAAAAAAAAAAACACGTGAAATACTATGAAATAATTCTTTGTATTTTTTTTATTCTATGCAATAATTCATCTTATAAGAATAAGAATTTCATAATTACAGTTTCAAATTACAATATATATAATAACAAAATAGGACGCATTTCTCATATATCATAACGACATAAATAATATGTCAATAATATAAAAGATGTGTCTAACAACCAGTCATTAAATCTTTTTATTTTAGCAATCAGACGTTTATTAAGATCTTGGTACAAGTTTTAATATTAACTTTTTACTGCGAGACATTAAAAATTACCTACGAGTCGGTCACACCGCGTTTATAAGACCGACGCGACTTTAAAATCAAATAACTGCGCGAAAATCAATATTTTTTCAATTACTTCTTTTTACTTAAACGTTTAAATGTGTCGATACAAAAAAGTGTGAACACATCTCTAGTAAGTTTAAAAATGTATGCCTTTAAAAAATACATGACAATTTTGATTTTGAATAAATCATTTTCGGTTTACAACTTTATAATTGTTTTAAAGTATCTTCTGAAAATTGTAAAATAAAAAACATTTTAACGATACGTCTTTTGAAACGTATTTTAAAGAATGTAGGTGTCTAGCGCTCAACTTTGACATGCAATATATTATAACAATATCTGATGAATAATTGATTATTGTGACTAGTTGAACGATTTTGTGCCAATGAAAAAACAGAATGAAAAACTTTTAAAGTACTCGATTATATACATCGTTTACGGAAAAGACAATGTATTTGCAAATATTACACGTGGTAACTTTTGTAGTCGCAAATCATATCACTCTGCTCGCCGTAATTTAAGCGTGGTAATGGTATATATATTTTTATATTATTATGAAAAATTATTAAAGGTTCATATATTTCTCCTACCATTATGAAAAAACATCAATTAGTTCATATATTACAAGTACTCAAACTAAAACCCAATTTACTTATTTTTTTTCTAAATGCCAACGTCTCGTCCAAATCTAGGTCTCTAAGACCATTTCGCACTTCACAACTAAATAGTCGCAAAATTATTGAAGGAATGACGGTGTCAACTTCTACCATTGTCTAAGGATCTAAAGTTTTCTTTCAGGGTCTACAGAAATTGCGTTACACTAATACCTAGTAAAGATACTGGTTTAAACCGTTTGATGAGTCTAGGAGATCGACGTCTGATATTAAGAAGATGCTAAACGCCGGCGAAAATCCACTGATTGTGAGCTGCCACTCAGCCGCTCGTCAGGTAAGTGGCACCATTTCGTGAAATCGAGTCGAACCAAATTAAAAATACATACCATGAGAAAGAAAAGGACAGACGTATGTGTCTCTCTGGCTCTTCTGCTAAAATTACACCAATCTTATTTTTGATCTGTCGTTTCTTACAAGTTTCAAAATACTTTTCTAAAACTCCCAAAATATTCGTCTATGTTTCTACAAGTGGATAGCAGAACGTCTTTTGGATTCATATTGCCAATTTGTATATGAAATGAAAATGTGGACTATATCGTAACAGTTCATAAAGTTTCTTTCGTTTTTTTAAATATCTTTCTTTAATTGTGGAGGAACGATTTTCATTCTAATCAATGAGTGCAGAATGAATTCAAAACTAAGAAGTGCTGCTAAAACAGAACGGTCCAGCATCCTCTTAAAGAGTTAATTTTAATCTTAACAGTACTAATCTAAATATTAGTAATATTATTATTATTACTAATATAAATATTCCTACAATTATTAAGAACAGTCATTCTCTCAGCATTTTGCCACTCCTCCATCTCGTTTTGCGACATTATCTGTCTCAACACTTGTCGCTTTTTTCTGTAACCAGTATACACAGTACTTTGTAAATAAAGAAGATAATTTTTCTGCTTGTTTACAACTTACACTGCTAACATGAAAGCGATCATTACAAAACTCAAAACAATATTTACAAACCTATATATTTACATATTTATGTAGTGTTATGTATTTAATAAGACACATACGTTACCTTCGATAGATATAAGAAACTGTGGCACCTATACTGAGCAGTAATATTATGGGAATTAACCATATTTCGAAAGGCAGTGATGAACCATTGGAGAGAACTTCTCCGATGCTAGTCGATATTCTAAGCATGATTGTTTCATTAGAAATCCGAAATATTGATCTTTGTTCTGTTAAAATGACTATTATCTCATACAATCGGTTAGGTTGTAATGGGCAATTTCTTGCACCTCCGTAAGTTTTGTTGTCACCAACTATGAAGGTATACTTGTTGCGAGCAATCTCATCTGTCTATAGTAATGACACAGAAACAGTAAAGAAATATATATGTATAGGTAAATGTGTATGTGCTAATTGCTGTAAAGTTATATGTATATATTTACTTAAGTCTTATATATGTAAAATCATCAGATGTAAATAAATAAATTAATATTTTATATTGTTTATTCGTTTACTTAACATGTTCTAATGTATATAAAACTGTTTTTAAGATAGTATTAAAATAATACACATACCGAGATCTCAGCAGCTTGCCAAGCGACATCATTCTCTTTCACATTCGCCAGGTTTAGTAAATTGTCAGGTATTTTTGAATTCTTACACCGAGTAGGTCCTTTCACAATGATGTGTATACAACTATCATACGTATCATTAAGAATATGCGGTACTTGTAACGAGATAGTAGAAGTAAATTCATCCGGTACGTCGTGTAAATCGCCATCAAACGTTGCGGTTGACGGTGTCTGTACATTTACATAATTGTACAGACTGGTCTCGTTTGTGATAGTCATAGATCGAATATAGATTCGATACAATGTTGATGGATATAAATGTAAACGCTTGGTATAAGTACGCATATATTCTTCTACTGAATATTCATATTTCTTTTTCGCAGTTGATTGAGAAATGCGCTGTTTCAGATATGAAGTACTTTCTTCTATGTTGATGAGAAAANATTGTAGTTGACGATTTGTCTTCCAAGGATGATACCATAGTAAAGTGATTATGCTGTTATTGTGTAATGTGTAACTAACAGATGCTGGTTTGTCTGGCTCTGCAAGACATTTTTAATATAATCGTCATCACGAAGTTCCTCAATTCTATAAAACTAAACTTCAAGATATTTGTTTATTTTGTATCTTATTTTATATCTTAACATTAGTAAACCTAAGAGCAACATANATANNACGCTAAATTAAATATCGATTGTAAAAAAGTGTTTCTTGTCAATGTTGTTGCACTACGTGTGCGTACGACAATGAAAGAAGTANTANAAGAGTGTGAAATGTAGAAGTTTGAANAACAAAAGTGTATTATAAGTAGACATTGTGTTTAGGATCTCAAAGTGGAATACAATTTACAATAGTAAAACTAAAAAAATGNAAGTGTTTTTTGTTAAAGTTTTAAAAGATTGTAACATCCCGGGAAAAAATGGATTAGATCTAATTTAAATTCAACGAGATAAAAAAAATAGAAAAGTAGATCTAATTAAATCTAAATTAAATCTAAATAAATATAAAGAAAATCTAAATAAATATAAAATAGATGTAAATAAATATAAGTAGATTTATTAAATTTACACTTATATATATTATTAAATCTACTTTAGATCTACTCAGATCTACTATATTAAAACTACTCAGATTTACTTAGATTTAAACAGATCTGAACAGATCTGAGGTAATCTAATATAATACATCTAAGTAAATCAAGAGTAGATCTAATAATAAATAAAAGAGTGTATATTTACATAGATTTACTTATATCTATTTAGATTTACTTTACATTTATTTACATCTATTTTATATCTATATTGTAGATTTAATTTACATTTAATTAAATCTATTTTTTCACTTTTTTAATCTAGTTAGATTTAAATTAGATTTAATCCATTTTTTCTCGGGATATATGTCATGCATCTTATTTCACTTACTTGTAGTAGCAAACATTTCTTGAGAAACACTANACGGTTGGCTTAAAGCTGTGCCATTTTTATGTATCTCAAAAATCTGTAATATAATATTTTAACTTGTGTATTATTTGAAACATACGTTTTTATAATTATATATAATGTTTTGTTACTTATATATATAGTCTTTTTAGTGTGTAAAATAATTACTTGGTTTGTTTCTATTCTTACCTGAATGTTGAAACATCTTTTGTAAAGATTCACGCAAACATAATCATCCCACAAATTGCAGAATTTATTAATTGTCACTTTAATAGACTTGACATAGTGATTGCAATAAGTGGCAACGTTATAATAGTGAAANTGTTTTTTTGAAGATGAGAGTGGAATTAACCATCGTAAGTGTAATATATCTTGATTGGTGTCAATTTCAATAACTTCCAGATTTGCTATTGTAGGAGGAGCTGTGGAATTGGATTTCATTTGAATACAAAGTTGTTAAAAATAGAATAAAGAAAAAAATAGGAATAAAGAAAAAATATAATACTAATACTACCTGTGGATGGCGTTCTGAAGTACAATTCTNGATAAGCTGAAGAATTCTCTGTAGTATTATGTTCTCTTATTACAAAAACAGTTGCCCGATATTGCTCGTCACTAAGCAGTGGTGGATGTATTATATTCAAATCAAAATACCTGCGAAATGTAAATTCGATTGCACTGAAATGTTTTACAAC